GAAGTCCTGTATTAATATTGCACTTGGTTATGGCCTGGGGGAACTGATATATAAATATATTTATCAAATACAGCAGAAAATAACCAGGCATTATTTCTGATTTCCCCATGTCCCGTCTAATTGTCATAGCCACTGATTTAAGACATTCATAAGTCTGAATAAACATTTAATTCCAAAGGCTAATTATCTTGTAGCCATGATAAGTGTAAGTCTAGAATCATTAATTGCCAGTACTTAGAAGTTGCTCTTCTCAAGACTTGATCACCATTGTATTATAAGCGTACAAATGGTACTGGTTGTTCTGTTGGTGCTAAAGAGGGAAATAAGAAGAAATCATCTGTAGCCAAGCTATGGTGAGACCATGAGCTCCTGGTCAGCCACAACCACTATGTACTGGCATAGTGATGCTTGTACCTCACCTCTACCTCACATGCAAGGAACAGCCTGCAGAATATGGGGGACAAACCTTGACTGGGTAGTCATGGTAATGGGGTACATTACACAAGTTCATTCATGTAGTTGATTATTCTGTTACCTTTACTCATTCCAAATACTTCATTTGATGGTGGAAAGTGATGCATATCTATAAGTTTTGCGGATAGCATATATACCCTTCCCCATTCACTCTAGTAATGGAAATATTCAGCATGTATCATATGTGCATAAACTATTGAGAGCTCAAACATGATATTGCGGAGCAGGAAAGTATATCATCTCAAACATTAAAGTCTAAAGTGCAGAACTAAACTTAAAATGGAACCTGCTCCACATTTTCGAAATATATTATTTTGTTTATATACCCATGGAAACGAATAAGGGAACACATGAAAGTACAAGTGTTCCTTTGTTCTTTTCCAGGTTTCTTCACAAAGTATGTATTTTCACTGTGAGTGAAATTCTGGAAATAATTAAAGGAACACTTGTTCTTTCATGTGTTCCCTTATTTGTTTCTATGAGTATATCATCCAAGCTGTATAGAATTGCTGTTGATTATCTGGGTTAGTAGTAGAGCTAGTAGTGAGGATTCTATGGGACATTGTCACCAATGCAGTCTGTGCTGTGCTGTACTAAATATTTACTGGGAACAATACTGGTGCCACATTTTTATATGTAAATTGTATAACATACATACATTTTCAATTTTGAACTTTCTTCTCATACTGACATTTTGAAACTTTATGAACATTCATTTGAATAGATTGAAACCAATTCCACCTATTTCAGTCTGATAATAGTTCAAGTTATTTGTAGTATACTGCATACATCTGGTGCCATGTTTAACTGAGGCTTAGAGTAAAAATATTGAAATTCTTTGTTCAGTTTGCAATCGAACTTTCAGGCAATGACTTTGATGATTTGTATGAAGATTTGTCAGTTCCAGCTGGTTTCAAGCAGTAACTAATGTGTGTTATACACACTATGTTATAAACTTACATTTTGTTTTGTCATCGTGAAGGATTTCTAGTGAACTTGACACTTCAAAGTCATAACTTTACTTCTATGTACACTGAAAATTGGCTTCCAGATTAGTCATTGCTAAAAATCATATATAACTGAAAAGAAATACACATGCAAGTGTTGACGATTCTCATAAATACACATATATTCTTCTTGAATATGCTTGCATGCTGAAATTATTGTATCAGTCTTCAGTCCCCTATGAAGCTGTATGCCTATGTATGTGAAGCTGTATGCATATGTATATGAAGCTGTATGCCTATGTATATGAAGCTGTATGCCTATGTATATGAAGCTGTATGCCTATGTATGTGAAGCTGTATGCCTATGTATGTGAAGCTGTATGCCTATGTATACTGATGTGCCAAAAGCATTTCAAGAATAGCGTTCCCATAGTAAATGTGCAAGAAACAAGCCAGTGAAGTAACTCACCAAATCATGCTAATATATCCTTTCTGAATGATAGAACTTCGAGTTCTCTTTGGACCAGAGCTTTACAAGATATGAATACACACTTGTGTAAGACCAACCCAGATCTACTGTACAGACTCGAATCAAATCCTGATGAGAGTTGTGTGTTTTCATAGTTTCTCTAAAGTTTGGTTTTCACATGTTTCCAGACATGTTCGATAAACTTAATATCTGGGGACTGTGCATGCCAGTCTATACTGGGTATGCTGTTTGTTACAGCCCGGGAAAGCCACATTTAAGAAAAACGGAGTTGAAAATGGTGTGGCTGGACATGATTGAGTGATCGTGTGAATGTGGCTCTCCCGGCAATGCACTATTAGCTGATCCATGTTACCGTAAATAAAGTGAAATATTCGTAATGTAAAATCTAGAAATCCAGTTGAATTGTTTGAGGAGAAAAGTCCAGATCACTCAATCTAGCTGCCCACGTAGGTATGCTCAAACTCCTTTTACGAATTATTTATGATTATACAACCAATTATTTCTTTGAAGCAATTTAACTTATGGGAGGGTCAATTCAATGTTTTATCCTTTTCTGATAACTGTTTGAGCTATGGTTGCCTCAGTTATTATGTTTATATTCATGCTAAAAACTCAACAAATTAATAAATAAAGTAAAACACAAATATTATGTGTGACAACTCCTTCTTTATTGTATATCACAACGTTTCTGGTCTATTCCCTGCCCCTTGTCAGGTGAACTGTAACAAACAAGATACATGTATCACCTGACGAAGGGGCAGGGAATAGACCAGAAATGTTGTGATATACAATAAAGAAGGAGTTGTCACACATAATATTTGTGTTTTACTTGAACACTAACTTTTAAATGCCTCTTAAGAACCTAAAAAAATATATATATAAAAACAAATTTAAAAGAATGACCAATTATTGCACAAATATACTTATAAACAGACACATATGTGTCGCCTAACTCTTTCCATTTCATAGCTGTTTTTAAGCAAAATTCTTGTCCAAACTTCTCTGTTGATACGATATACCAATCATACAAACCAAAGTAGTTTACATGAAGACATAAAAATATATACTAATAAAGTTGTTGTTTTTAAGAGCAAAAGCTGAAATTGCCCTTTTCCATAGAATGACCGATTAGCATGTATCATTTTATCTCAGAACATATGCTATCATATGTTAACTAAAAACTTCAGTGAGAATAAAGAAGCCGCCCATCATATGTTAACTAAACAAACAAAGGACAAGTCACTGAAATAATTTTAATCCATTGTGATCAATGGGTGACGCTTATTTGAAAAAACAAGGTATTGATTCCCTTACTCCATGTGGCTTTCGCGGTGATTCGCGGGACGGGGTTTGTACTTGAAATGTGGCTTTGGCGGCAATTGGTATTTTTCAAATGTGGCTTTCCCGGGCGGACACCATGCTGTTTGTAGATTTCAAGGCAGTGGGCAGCAAGTCCTGTGCACTGGGGCATTTCCATCCTGAAAGATCCAGGGCTCGTTTCCTAATGATTTGGCTACAAATTTGTATCAATAACATCAACATACTTTGCTGAGTTTCTGCTGAACCAGTTCGCCAGTGTAGCTAACAAAAGATCATGTCCCGTGAAAACTGGTTTGTTAAAATGGGTGATTTGGTTTTTGCAAATGTGATTGTTGCAATTTTTTTTACACGTCACTGTACCTGTATGTCTATGTACATGTACATGTAAGGGTAGCCTACTAGTTACAGAATTCGCTCATCACGCTGGAATATTAAAAGCGATGTAAAACCAAACTCTCTCATTCACTCACTATGTACAAGTATAAAGTAAAACTTGTGCATTTCGCAAGCCATCAACTTGATGTTGTCTCTTCTTACTGTACATGTTACACTGAACCCTTTACAAATAGAAATATGCAAATAATCTGATCAATGTCTGATGTTTTCATACTGGCACATGCTATGACTAAAACACTGTTAAAACACGTGTAAACATAATTTACTTTTGCAAATATACACCTGATTCATCCTTTCCGTGCTTTGATGACGTATGTTCTTTCATAGTGCTCTTGAACGCATATGTACTTATGTAAGATAATAAAGGATGGTAACCTGTAGTTACACCTGTAATCAGTGCAGTGCCAGAGACACAATAGGGGGGATATACCTGGAGATATATGCCACCACTGCAGTCACTGACTTGGCACCAGTTCTATCCGTTGCCGGCATTGCGATTCATGCTGGTGCTGTCAACAGTTGATTCATGGCCTTCAGGTTTGATTTGTTGTGTTGAAATGTAATTAATTTTCAGTCAGGGACTTTTGAAATACAACAGAGAAATTGATATGAAGGTGAAAACAAATAATGTTCTTTTTGTGCCTGTTGGCAGAAGTCCTTAGGGTGGAAATATTTAGAATGTCAGTATTAACATCTGTTTATTGATGTGACAAACATTGGAAAGCAGACGCAGGTAACGTAGTTTGGTAGTTGGTCATCGGCTCAGAGCTGGAGATGTTGAGTGCATGCAGTTGTCAGGCTACATGTATTCACCACAGATTCAACTTATGCTTTGTCCTGGAGTTTTGTATGGAATAGACTTCTACATGTCTCTAAGGAAACTATTATTAGTCACATGTTCTAGATTATATAGATAATAAGCATATGTGTCCCTTATGAAAAACTGGCAACCTTAGAAACTGATAATAAAGGTATTCCTGTCCTGCATCACTGGCCTTGTCATTTAGCAAAGCTACATGTGACACTTCCACCATGCTGTTCTTGAGCAGCTCAGGTCCAAGAGTTCAGCACTATGTCCTTACATCAACCTTAACACTGTTCCATACTGTAACAGATGAAGAAGTCCATGCTCTCTGAACACTGGATCCAGAGCAGTGATGTTACTCTTTCTCCCAGACCAGAGAGAATATATTAAAATGGAATCCAACGAAAGTCTGGAATATAGAATGCTTTAGCGAGTGTAGTTCTGGTACAAACTAGTTAGCCTTTGTGTGTTTGTATATCACACCAAATTTGTCTCAGTGTATACCTAGATGCTGGGAACTTCTATACATGTGGGTAACAATGTTTGATGTGGTTTTTTATTATTGAAGGTACTGGTGATCGACAGTCGGTCTTTCCTGGAGTTCAACACCAGCCACATCCAACAGAGTGTAAATGTATGCTGCTCCAAGCTGGTCAAGCGGCGTCTTCAGCAGGACATGGTAAGACATAGCACCCAATCTCAGCTTAGATCCATATGTGGGCTTTGTCTGCTCACACAATGTCTTTGTAATGTTACGACCTGTCGTAATTGTATAGTATATCATAGGCTTACGAATGTCGTAGCGCTACGACCGCTTTACGGGACGGGACCCTGGTAGATGCCAAGGGTATTCTGACCCGTGGTGGAAATGAATGAATGTTGGTTAGTAGAGAGGTCCTTTTTCTGTTTTTCCAAGGTTCACACTAATTGAGTGGGTGAAAATATGCTACTCAAAATAGTATTGACTTCCACCCAATTCATACATATTACTATAGTCTCTCTGTCATGGCATGATGGTTATTTCAGCAAAATGAAAGGATCAAGTGGTCTTAAAATGGTTTTGTAGTAAATGTTATGCTAATTGTCTAAATACTAGGTAATATATACACTTTATCATGGAGAAACATGGATTGCCAATGTATTATCGAAAGGAAAGGTGGTTTTCAATCTGTTTATTTGCCACAGAAAAAGAAACCAACAATGCAACATTTATCGTGGACGATTAAGTGACTAACAAGACCCTACAAATCTCTCTGACTCCTGTATCCAGCAATGACTAATTTAGATACGCTCCGCTGTGAATTTCTTTGTTGTTGTTCGTCAATACTGCTGTACTTGGTGAATGTTCAGTTGTATGTTGGTCCAATGATGGCAGTGACTGTGTTACTGTATTTCCCCATGTTGCACAACCACATTACCAATGTGCAAGACACCGCTGGCCAGGAATTTTCCCACTACAGTATGATTCATGATTTGATCAATATTGACAAATAGACGAGCTATAAATAGGCTGACTTACTCTACCTGAGACCTAGTTAGTTTTATGTTCCTTGAACAACACAAACTACATGATCCTGTTCATGACTTTTTACATTTACGAGTCCTGATTTTATGAGACATTGTAATGTATTTGTTGCAATAACAGTTCATGAGACAGTAATTACAAGTCCTATGGGTGTAGATATTCCAAGAACAGAATCAGGCATGTCCTTAGGTGTAGATATACTCAGAGCAGGATCAGGCATGTCCTTGGGTGTAGATATACCCCAAGCAGAATAATGCTTGTCCTTGGGTGTAAATATACCCAGAGCAGAAAAATGCTTGTCCTTGGGTGTTGATATACCCCAAGCAGAATAATGCTTGTCCTTGGGTGTAAATATACCCAGAGCAGAATAATGCTTGTCCTTGGGTGTAGATATACCCAGTGCAGAATCAGGCATGTCCTTGGGTGTACATATACCCAGAGCAGCATCAGGCATGTCCTTGGGTGTAGATATACCCAGAGCAGAATCAGGCATGTCCTTGGGTGTAGATATACCCAGAGCAGAATCAGGCATGTCCTTGGGTGTAGATATACCCAGAGCAGAATCAGGCATGTCCTTGGGTGTAGATATACCCAGAGCAGAATCAGGCATGTCCTTGGGTGTAGATATACCCAGAGCAGAATCAGGCATGTCCTTGGGTGTAGATATACCCAGAGCAGAATCAGGCATGTCCTTGGGTGTAGATATACCCAGAGCAGAATCAGGCATGTCCTTGGTTGTAGATACAGAACAGAATCAGGCATGTCCTTGGGTGTAGATATACCCAGAGCAGAATCAGGCATGTCCTTGGGTGTAGATATACCCAGAGCAGAATCAGGCATATCCTTGGGTGTAGATATACCCAGAGCAGAATCAGGCATGTCCTTGGTTGTAGATATACCCAGAGCAGAATCAGACATGTCCTTGGGTGTAGATATACCAAGAGCAGAATCAGGCTTGTCCTTGGGTGTAGATATACCCAGAGCAGAATCAGGCATGTCCTTGGTTGTAGATACAGAACAGAATCAGGCATGTCCTTGGGTGTAGATATACCCAGAGCAGAATCAGGCATGTCCTTGGTTGTAGATACAGAACAGAATCAGGCATGTCCTTGGGTGTAGATATACCCAGAGCAGAATCAGGCATGTCCTTGGGTGTAGATATACCCAGAGCAGAATCAGGCATGTCTTTGGGTGTAGATTTACCCAGAGCAGAATCAGGCTTGTCCTTGGGTGTAGATATACCCAGAGCAGAATCAGGCATGTCCTTGGGTGTAGATATACCCCGAGCAGAATCAGGCATGCAGGGATAAATCTACCCTGCACGTCCTGCGTAATATATGCATACAAATTTGAAAGGACACACATATTTTACATGTGCGTCCTGTGGATGCATACATATTCACTAATCATACATGCTTTCTCGGACAAATGCTTTGGCAACGGGTCCATATCAAAGTTGTCAAACATCAAAGTAACAATGTTTCGAGGAAATAATTAAACAAATTGAATAAACTGAAGAATAAAATCAACAACAGTAGTCATAAAAGTTGTCAAACATACATTAGAACTTACTATTTCCATCTTTATTGAGCGATCGTGTAGTGTAATTCAAGAGACATCTCGGCTTTCGTCACCTCGAACTTAGCGCTCGGACACGATGTTTAATGCTAAAATATATGCATGAAGCATTTTTGTCACAGGTCATAACCTAGCACGATACATCCACTAAGTTCCATAATATAGGTATAGGTGGTGATTTTTTGTGTAACACGTTCAGAATACCATGATTTTACCCAAAACTTCCGTCTGAATCTATAAATTTTCGTTAACGAGGACGGTATCCGTGCTTTAATATGATTGGCTGCCTTAAGTCACGTGCATGATTTCAACCAATCACAACCCTTATAGCAGACTGTGGTGAAAAAGTGTCATTAGAAACCAATCTTCAATAAAATCGCTTCTTACAACTGTGAAAATACTCTCGGCAAGGGTACAGTGATAGTGTTGATGTTCAGAGCTTTCACCCGCCATCAAACGAATCGCCTCACATGTTATTCATACGAAGCCTCAAAAACAGAGGTGTTTTCCGCTGTTGTATCTAGATATACTCAGAGCAGAATCAGGCATGTCCTTGGGTGTAGATATTCCCAGAGCAGAATCAGGAATGTCCTTGGGTCTGGATATTCCCAGAGCAGAATCAGGAATGTCCTTTGGTGTAGATATACCCAGAGCAGAATCAGGAATGTCCATAGCGGGATGAGCCGCACAAGCCATATCTGATGGCACCTTACCGAAGTTAAGGTTGATTTATTGCTAACTACAGTGGAATGGTAAACATCAATCATATCGAACTATTCCACAGCTCATTTCAGACAAGTTATTTATGTAATTAATCAGCTTTTGGCAGAAAATATTTCACCCTTTTTCAATTCCTTTTGTCTCAGGCAAGCAGACTAATTCTTATTTATGCCTTTGAGGGCATACACCCATCAACTCACTCACTCACTCACTCACGCTAACACTCACTCACTTACTCACTCACTCATTCACTACTGAGAATTACTAATACATTTCCATAATAATAAACAATTAAGTTTACAGATGTCTCCTTCTACTAAGAGCAACTGAAGCTGAAACAGTGTAATACAAATCTCATTGATTCGTTGCTGATGATGCTTGTTGCAGCCAAATGATCAATAGGGAACTAATATGATTAGGTCTATGTTTCTTATGATTCATTCATGCTGTCCTCACTCAACTTCCATCATTTCTTGGCATATTGACCTTCAAAATGTGTAAAACAAGAAATCTGTCTGGCCTTACTGCCGTTTGTTGTTTATAAGTATTCATTCACCTACAAGTGTACTCAATTCCCTGCTAAGTGTATAGCCACACATGCAAGCTATGGATCCCTGATTCCGGCTGTTCATCAGTGCTGGTGGTGTTTCATTGATAGGGACATGAGCTGGAGTGATGATGTAGCCTCACAGTGCACAGTTGTGAATCATCCAGTTACACATTGATTTTCCATGTTTGTTGATGCTAAAGATGGTCCTCCCAGCCTTGGCCTTTTGGTCCTACCTGTTGAGTGTTCAGACCACATCACCCTGGAGGCATCTCTTGTTGTCACAAGGGAGATTGTTGGTGCCATCTGGTTACAGTATACTGACAGCATTTCACAAGGTTCAGGGAAATGAGTGGATTGTCCCTTACCCACTCACTCACTCACTCACTCGCTCACTCGTCATTGTATCCCAATTCCGTAGATCGATGCTCATGATGTTGTTCACTCGAATCAGCTTGACTGTTGTTCAGTGCAACATTACACAACAAATTAACACTCACTCACTCACTCATGCACACTCACCTATCCCCCTTTCTCTCCGAATACCTCACTCAGTCCTCTATACAACCTGTTAAGTTCCCTTTTAACTTCAGTTACTGCTATTTTCTGTGGTTCAAGTGGTCAGCCTCACTGCCACTGTGGACCAGGCAGTCCGGCCTGCATCATTTCACACTGATTCCCATCTCCAGCCACCTCAGCACCTTGGATGATGACTCACATCACCCATGATGTGGACTGCAAACAATAAGCATTGTTGTTGTTCTGTTAAGAATTAGAAACATTTGATCAGGGCTGTCATAATGCTTGAACGTAGAGAAGAGGCAGATGTTGTTGAGAGGAGGTTTCTGCAGTGCTGCTTGTGTACAAGTTGCCACAGTAGGTGGCATCGTGAGTCTCTGCAGTGCTGCTTGTGTCATCATCTGTTATCCACAGTAGGTGAAGTGCTGTAGGTGAACGATATACTGAGTACACACTATGAGCCAGGTGATGTGTTACTGGCAATAGTATACGACCATATAAACTCTAGCTTTCAGCTGAGGAAGGTGATGGCAAACATATGTACCCTACCTAAGAGGTGAGTGATGTTACTGAGTACATATACTGTAGCTATGATCTGAGTGATGTTACTGAGTACATATACTGTAGCTATGATCTAAGTGATGTTACTGAGTATATACTGTTACTCTGAGTGATGTTACTGAGTACATATACTGTAGCTATGATCTGAGTGATGTTACTGAGTACATATACTGTAGCTATGATCTGAGTGATGTTACTGAGTACATATACTGTAGCTATGATCTGAGTG